TGCCTCACACTGGTTCAACAGTACTGGACTCACCTCCGTATGGTAAATGGCCATGACAGCCGTTAACGGCAATCTAGAAACTTGAGATAGTTTTAATACGATTAATGCATCAGTTATATATATATTGCCTTTCAGTGTAGAGGCGTCAGGTCCAAAGATTGCTTCGGCATGATTGATCGCTTCTTCAGTGATAGGACAGTTCTTGATGAGACCAGATCGGATTGCATACTTCAGACTCTTGGTGCTTGGAGCATTGAGTATGTGCATAGCACTTCTCGCTTCCATCGCAGCCTTGACTTGTCTTGGAGTGAATCCTTCCTTGTTCTTTCGAACCGTTGCTATTTTTGCAGTCATCCCAAGTCCAGCATATCCATTCTGTTTTGAAGAAAGTTCAAAATGGGGTTGTTTATTTACGTTGCTTAACTGGGAATACATCACACTTGTCTCTTTGGCACCTGGTTCGACATTCACTCCAAGTTGCTCCAACACATATACACCCTTACGATTCACAAATCGCATCTGTCTGTCTCCATCGCAATCACAACAAAGGCATTGTCAAAATCAGTATCCATGGTAATGCGGTATCCCGCAGCAATCATCTCGCGCATAGCAAGTACATTGGCAATTCCGTCTTCATCATAATAGACTGGAGGCGGAAACCGTCCTAGAAACCCTTCTTCATCGAGAACTCTGCTGCCCACGTTAGTGTGCATATCGAGCTCTTTCTCAGCTTGACGTAGTCCATGCATGAGTTCACCATTACAAATGGTGGTGTTGGTGCATCCACTGTCCATGATGACGTGATCGAGCAAACCAAACGGATCTCTTTCGATTCTGCGGCTTTGAATAAACTGCATACCTCGATCTGCTTCAGTAGCAAGATCTGGCAAGTCTTCACTTTTACTAGCGTAGTGCCAGTCGGATTGAAGTTCGACGTTAGTCGTTCCAGCAGGACATGGGATAAGATAGACATCATTGCCATTCTCATCCTTTCCCTTGATAGCATCGTGAAAGACATTTGACGTATCAAAATAGCCAGTCTTCACAACTTGCGGAGTTTGAGCTTGAGTTGCATCGAATCCTTGGC